GTGATCGCTGCCGGCGACGCGTCGGGCCGGGGCTGCAGGGCGCGCTGCCGCCGCTACGTTGATGATGATGATGTTGATGATGATGATGCTGATGGTGCTGATGGTGATGATGATGGCGATGCTGGTGATGGTCGTTCTGATTATTACGATTATTACGATTATGATTCGGATTTTGATTTCGAGCATGCTTCTGATTATGAGGTAGGATCTGATGGTATTGATACTTATGATGATGATGATATTGATGATGATGATGATGATGATGATGATGATGATGATATCGACGACGACGACGACGATGGCCATGATGATGATGAGGAGGGCGATGATGAGTATGAGGATGATGATGATGACAGTGTCTTGCACAGATCATCCCCTCTGGAGCCGAGGGCCGTCGCGGTCGCGCCGATGCGCCGCAACCGCGCCTGCTCAAGTCTTTCTCTGGAGGGTGAGGCCCTCCCCTGGACGCGCTTCAGCGGCGCCGGGCTCGGCATCCCGCTCGCGAGCAATTGCGCCCAGCTTGTTCTGGCGCGCTGGCGGCTGCTCCTGGCGGGCCCCGCGGCCCCGCGCGCGCCCGCTGCTTCCCCCCTGGCGGCTGCGCCGCCCCCGCTGGCAGGGGCGGGCCCGTTCCTGGCGCCGGGCGAGGCCGCCGGGGTCCAGGTTCCGCTGGCAGACTGCCTGGCGGCCGCCGTGGACGCGAGGGAGGTGAACCGCGCCTGCCCCTCGCCCTGCCCGCCGTGCCCATCGTGCGAGGCAGGCGACGGGCGTCGTCCCTCCCTGGCCTGGGAGGGTACGATCGGGGGCTTGCTGCTCCGGGCGTCCGAGCTCGCCCGCTGGGCACTGTCGGCGGCGCAGCGCGCTGCGCTTCCCGGGGCCGCGCGGAGTGGCCCGCCATCGGGGGCGTGGGCACTTCGCCCGCGCCGCAGCCCGTTTGTTTCGACACGTCTGATCGGCGGCTTCCCCGCGTCGGTGGTTTGTGCCGATTTCCATGATAGCCGTGAGGGATGAGATCTAGGCTGGGCATGACGAGCCACCTCCCCGCCTGGCGCACAAGCGCATCGCGGTGGGCCTCTCGTCTCTGGTGCCTGAGCATTTCGCTGTCCTCGCGCCCAATTTCGACGTCTACACCGAAGAGTGCGACCAGGGGAACCCGGACATCCGCAACTGGTGGAAGGAGTGGGGAGCTGCGGCTGCGCCGATCGGCGCCGTCATGCCCGCTGGCATTCGGCGCTGCGACTTCGCCGCGGTGCCGACGGTCGCCCAGCTCGCCCAGGCCTGTGCGGCTGGCGCGGCGAAGCTCGCGGAGCACGACCAGCCCCCTACGGGCGGTGCGCCCGCTCCTGCTGCTGTCGCTGGTGGCGGTGGTGTTGTTCCCCTCGCGATGGCGCCCGCTGGCACGGGGCCTGGCCCCCTGGGGGGCGGCGTCGCGTCTGGGGCCTTTGCGGCCGTGCCTGGCGCCCCGCCGCCCTCCCTGGCGCCCCGCCTGCGCCGGCCGCAGCCGGCGGGTTTGCCGGGCTCGCGGCGTTGATGGCTGGCCCCCCTGGCGCAGGTCCTGACCCCGCTGGCTCTGCCGCCCCCGCGCCTGCAGACGGCGGCGGGCCCGCTGCCGCGGGCGACCTCCGCTCGCTCGCCACCGCATGCGATGGGCAGGGGCAGCGACGTCGAGAGCGCCAGGACAGTGCGCAGCTCATGCGACCGACATCGTTCCCAGACTGGCCGATGCTTGGACCCTGCACATACCGCTGGGTGGCCACGTACCAGGTCGAGAGCGGCGGATCTCCGATGGCACACCACCTCGCCTGGAAGGCTGCGTCGGGCCCTGCCGTGGCGCCTGGCGACCCGATGACCCCCGCGCATCACGAGTTTTCAAAGATCATGCAGGTGGCGCAGTCGCATGGCCAGGCCGATGGCTCCAACCTGGCCCCGATGGAGCTCGTCGCGCGGCAGCTGCAGCTGCGCGAGGAACGCCACAAGGACAAGCTGGTCAGCTCGCGCGCCCTCGACAGTGGAGGCGACGAGCAGTTCTTCCTCACGGGCACGCAGTCCACGCGCGGCCCCATGGTCGCACCCGCCCCGGCCGAATGGATTTTGAAGCAGCTCGCCGCCGAGTCGGCCATCGCGAAGGAGCGGCAGCTGCTCCACCCGCCGGCTGGCGGCCGCGGCGGTGGACAGGGCGGCGGCTCTGGCAAGGCTGCAGAGAACTAGCCCTCCCGCTCCGCGGCGCTTGCAGCAGCCGCCGGGGCTTCGACCATCTGGGGGGGGGCCCTGCTTGCAAGTCCGAGGTTGAGCAAGCCTGAGCATGAGTGAGTGAGTCCAGCAGGGTAGCAGGTGTTTCATATTTGTTCCATATTCCATGGTGTTGCATCGCTTTAGTTTGTGATTGAAATTGTGGTTTACGTAGGCGTTTTGCCTGCTACCGTCTCGGCTCTAGCGCCCACTCGCTTGTGCTCAGAGGCACGGGAGTTTAGATGCCCTGTGAGCAGGGCCCGAACTTCAGGAGTTCAGTAAAAATATCATAGATCAATACCATTGCGCAATTTCCGCCGACTACTTGCATGGTAGCAGGAGCACGTGGTTGACACGGAGAGGGACTACGATGACCGAGGATCATTGAGGCAAGGTGCCAAGCTGGGATGGGGATCCCAAGACTTGGCGAACGTACAGGTGGAAGGCCCTCCAGTACCAGGAGGGCACCAAGAGGGGGGACCGGTACCTGTGCGGCCCGCGGCTGGAGGCGAAGCTCACGGGCCGGGCCGAGATCGCGGTCGAGCGCTGCAAGGCCGGATGGCTCTCCAGGCCAGATGGCGTGGAGCGGCTCCTGGCGTGGCTGGAGCGCAGATGCTCTCGACAGGCCGTGCCAGATGTCGGCCAGGAGCTCGAGACGTTCTTGATCAAGACGAAGCGCCGCAAGCTCGAGCCAATGCAGCAGTGGACGGACCGCTTCGGGACAGGGTACCAGTGCCTCAGGCGCGCGCTGGCACTTGCGCTGGGACACGCAGTCCCGGTCCAGGTCGCCCCAGCACGGAAGTGGACAGGGCGACCATACCGCTGGATCGAGGTCGAACGTGGCTGGCCATTCGAGGGTAGCGAATGGACGTGGGAGTACACGGACGGCCTGCCAGAGGATGAGAAAGAGGACTCACACCACTGGGGCGCTGCTGACCAGTATGCGGACGCCGAGGAGGAGCTCGGGGACATGCCGGAAGTGTTCCCGAGCCTAGTCCTGGGCTGGCTGATGCTCGTGCGGTCGGGGCTCGACTCGCATGAGAGGGCGGCCATCATGACGGCGACGGGCGTCTCGCTGGAGGTCAACGCCATCCGGGAGAAGCTGATCTCGAGCTGGGAGGCCGACGACCTGGTGGAGCGTGATGGGCACTCAAGGTTCCCGAAGGCGTACACAGCCCAGCTTGGAGAAGATGATCGTACATGGCTTGATGGAGATGAGACACTAGATGCAAGCAGCTTCGCAGCCGACATGGAGAACTGCGAGTGGCAGGAGGAAGAACCAGGCCTAGAAGAGGCGAACGATGACGACATCGAGAACTACTTGGCGGCTCAGCAGGAGGAGGCGGAGGCGCTCGCGGCGATCCACACCGCCCAGCGCGCCCTCCGCCAGGCTCGTGAAGCTCAGGCAGACAGCAGGCTGAGCAGGGGCTTCTACAGGGGAGGACGGCCAGCGCCGAAGGGGTCAGGCAAGGGGTTCCCAGCGGGATCACGCCGACCACTTCCTCCCCAGGTAGGAGGTAGAGGCAAGATCTTGCCACCAAACAAGGGGCAGAAGAAGCGCGCGAAGTGTGGAGGACCCCACTGGGCTCAGGACTGCCAGGACCGTCATGACCCACGTCTACGGCCGGGAGCTGCAGGCACGCCAGAGGCGAGCGCGAAGGTGGCAGAGTGCAGGAAGGAGCTGAAGTTCAACCTCGTGGCCTCGCTGGTCGCCGAGCAGGAGCCCCTGGACTCGAAGTGCGAGGCGATGTTTGCGGACCAGGCCATCCTCGAGGGCAAGGGCATCGTCGACTTAGGGTGCGCGGGCGCCATGGGTGGTGAGCGTGCCCTGGACATCGTGGCCCGCAAGAACTTGGAGAAGTATGGTGGCACCAGGCTGCTAGACGTGAACCTGGACTACAGGCCAGTCTACAGCTTCGGGAATGGCGAGAAGGAGCGCGCCTACGGACAGGTGAAGTTCGGCATCACGGGCGCGGGCGTGGAAGGCGACATCGCCATCAACGGTTTCTCTAAGGACGTCCCGATCCTGGTGTCCAAGAAGGTGTTGAAGAAGCTCGGGGCCGTCGTGGACTGCGAGACTGGGGTGGCCGTGTTCGTGAGGCTCGCACCGGACATCCCCGTGCAACTGGAGGAGTCACCTGATGGAGGACACTACTACATGAGCCTGGTTGATGACTTGCTGGAGCAGCGCGTCAAGGACCGGAACCAGCTGCGGAACTTCAAGACCATCTGCGAGAGCATGCGTGAGTGGGATCGCCAGCCCGTGGCCGCAGTGTGCCAGGGGACGGACAGCTGCTCGGATGACCGGCCTGAGCAGTCGGAGCGCTACATGTATCCATCTCAATCCGATCACAGCGTTGCCACCGATGCGTCTCCAGCCGCTTCAGCAGGGGCGGGCAGGGGCCAGTCGTGTGGCCAGGCTTTCGGCATTCATCACAACAGTCGGCCACAGCCTCAGAAGGGTCCCGCAGCCGAAGGTAGCGGCCGTCACAGTGTTTAGTCTCAGGTGGGCCGGGTGTCCCAGGTGAACCAAGGGGCCCAGTTGCAGATCCATAGCCGTTCGGGCTCGAGCCAGGCAAGTTCACTCGAGTCGACAGCGACCGACGGCATCCAGCCACCCGCAGTTCCAGATCCACCAGATCTTTCATATCCTCCATATTCCAGGCCGAGGGCCGTCGATGTCAGCAAAGGGACGCGCTGGGGTAACATCATCCGTGGGGCGGTCCAGCTCACCTGCGCCAGGACCGCATGCTCGTGCGGTGCGGCCACTCCAGATGCCAACGTCTCGCAGTGCAGTACAGGGCCTCTACAAAGCGGAGGTGCTGCATCTACTTCAGGAGCTTGGCCTGCCGTGCAGTCCGGCCTGGGGCGTGGACGAGCTGAAGCAGGTCCTCAAGGAGCACATGTTTCCGAAGGACGAGACGCCAGTGCAGATGGCCATGAAGGGTCTCAGCTCGATGAAGAAGTCCCAGCTCTTGGCGAAGGCAGAGGAGGCAGGCGCCCACGTGACACAGGGCATGACGAATCCGTCGCTCAAGCTCTCGATCCGCAAGGCCATCCTCATGAAGCACACCCCGGAGCCGACCGACTACCTGGGCTTCGGGAAGCACGGAGCCATGACCTGCCAGCAGGTCCGGAGCCAGTACCCGTCCTACGCATCCTGGTGCCAGAAGGAGGCGAACCAGGAGAGCAGCTGGGAGCTGGCCCGGTTTGCCTTGTGGCTCAACGAGCAGGAGATCATCGACGAGAAGGCGGGGGTGACCAGGGATCCGAAGGAGGTCCCGAGGGGGCCGGACAAGGCTCGAGGGGGCGCGAGGTCATCCCGCAGAAGAACGGTAGACCGATCATGGAGGACGAGATCGAGGAGCAGGAGAAGCTCGAGGCTGCGATCAAGATGCAGAAGGAGGAGAAGGAGTCCAACCGCTTGGTCCAGGAGCAGATGCTGGCGGCGCTGAACCAGCTCAACCAGAGGATCGGCCAGCTGGAGGGCCAGGCGAGCTCAGCCAGTTCCAACGCCGGGAGCTTCGTACAAGTGGGTTCCAGTCCGAGTGGTCTGGCAGAGGTTTGAACTGCACGAAGGGGCTGGACCCCAGGAAGCAGCGCTGGCTTGCCAAGTGCATCCAGGAGAACGGCCACTTAGAGGACTATGAGGCGCTGATGGCCCACGGCGGTACCAAGTTGATGGAGGTCGCGTGCAGCCCGACGTCCATCCTGAGCACGAAGATGGCGGAGAAGTTCGGCGAGGACGCTGTATGCCGCATCAGTGCGTGGAAGGGACCCCTGGCGGCAACCAGAGGGCTCGGGAGGCACGTGATGAGGCCGAACCAGACCACCTGTGGATCAGTACGAGGTGTGGCCCCCTGTCGAACCTCACCCTCGGTTTCAACGGCTCCAACCCCATCGGGGCCGAGGCCACCAGGAAGCGCAGGTTGCAGGCCATTAAGGAGTACAAGGGCGCGGTGCAGCTGGTGTACGACCAGGTGGCTCAAGGCAAGCATGCACACTGGGAGTGGCCCATCAAGTGCGAGGGCTGGGGCCACAGGATGATCAGGAAGATGGTGGAGGACTGCTCCATGACGGCGGTGAAGGCGGCAGGCTGCCAGCTCGGCGTGAAGGACGGGAAGGCCTGCCGCTGCTGAAGGAGTGGCTGATCGCCACGACGTCTCCAAAGATGGCAGCCCGGATGTCCCTGGAGTGTCCAGGAGATCACCGACATGGGGAGCTGACGGGAGGCAGTCTTACAGCGGCCACCAGCTATTACCCGGACGAGTTTGCCAGACGGGCTGTTCGCGCGATGACCGAGGAGGCCGCGCCCGACTACCACGAGTTCATGAGGTGCTTGGTAGAGCCCGGGGAGGCAGTCGACCAGGCGACGGTGGCCAACCAAGCGGAGCCAAAGCTGAACTCAGACGTGAGCTCGAAGGAGTACCAGCAGATCATGAGGTGGCTCACCTCGATCCACCGTGGTTCAGGTCATAGCTCGAAGGCCTCCATGCTGAACGCACTTCGGAGGAAGGGCGCCAGCCCACAGGTGCTACAGGTGGCTGGGGACTTCCACTGTGACGCGTGTGAGGAGGCGAACAAGTTCAAGCCCACGCATCCGCCCGTCAGCTAAGAAGCCGTCCCGCCGAAGTGCAAGCACATCTAGGCGGACCAGTCTGAATGGGAGCACCCGCAGACGAATATCACAAAGATCTCCCTGATCATAGACGAGAACTGCCGGGTGCGCGTCAGCAAGCTACTGTGCCACAGGGTTGGCGAGGACCGGCACAGGAATCCTGCATGGGCCGACCTCAAGCAGTTCTACGAGGAGCGCTGGATGCCGTACTTCGGCAACGCACAGATGATGAAAGTGGACCCAGAGGGATCCTGGATGTCCAAGCAGGCGGCTGAGTACTTTGATTCCGACTCCATCGCGTACGAGCCCATTCCTGGCCAGGCCCATTGGCACATCTCCCTTGCCGAGGAGGCCATCCAGGCCACCAAGGGGACCATGGGCAAGTTGGTGACGGAGAACCCCGAGATGACGACGGAGGAAGCCCTGGCCAGAGCGACCGCAGCTGGGAACTCACGGGAAGATGTTCGGGGACACTCACCCCTTCAACATGCCCTCGGCAGGGCACCAGATCTGGACGGACACTTCTTTGAGAGCGACTTCGACGAGCTGCCCTACGTGGAAGCCCAGAGGGTCGACAAGGAGTTCGGGGAGAACTACACAAGAATGTATGCGGCCGAGCAGGAGTACCTGAGACAAGTCTACATGCGACGCATCAGCAGGGCAGAGAACGCGAAGAATCAGGCGGTGAAGTCCGTGGCGCCAGGCATGTGGGTGCGCTACTTCCGGAAGGAGAAAGGTGAAGCTAAGGGCCGATTCAAGGGGTTCGCGAGGGCCCTGGCCACAGAGACGGCGCGGCCGGTGGACAGGGACCTTGGCGAAGGACGGGCCCTACACCCTGGGCGCGCAGGATCCGTGGTGTGGCTGGTACGAGCCGGGCGGATCATTAAGGTGGATCTCTGCCAGATCCGGGCGGCCCCCTCACGGGAGATCGCCTACGCAGAGCTGATGGGAGGCAAAGAAACGCCCTGGACAGTCCACACCTTCATGAACCAGACGATGAAGCACGAGCACCTTGACTTCACTGGCCACGACCCCACCGAGGACGACGTGGAGATCTCGACCTGGGAGGGACTACCGGAACCAGCCCCTCCATTGAAGAAGGCCCGCACAGGACAAGCCACAGAGGAAAGCCAGGCCTCAAGGCGCCGTTCCACGCCACCAGTGCGGAAGAAAATATTCAAGAAAGGACGCCACCCAGGAGGAACGGCCGACCAAGTCCGAGCGTCTCGAGCAGCCCTGGCGGAGGAACAGGTGAAGGAGAACATGGCCCTCATGGCGAAGTCCACTCCGGACGCCAGAGCCTTTTGGGCTCGTCAAGGCACGTCACTGGAGGTCTCGGTTGAGGTTCCCCTGGAGGGCAAGCCGCTCAAGCAGGCCACGAGGCACATGAGTACCTACATGGCGAGCCAGCAGCGAAAGGGCAAGCGCGAGATCTCGGAGAGGACATTGACCCCCGACGAGATGGCGAAGTTCGGCCAAGCAAAGGCCACGGAGGTGAACAACTACATTGTGTCTTCGGTGCTGGAGACGCTCCCACCAGGAGTGACCCCTCCTCCCGAGGACGTCATGCGCATGAGGTGGATCCTCGAGTGGAAGATGGACGAGAACACGGGCGAGAAGAAGCCGAAGGCGAGGTTTGTGGTCCTGGGTTACATGGACCCCGAGTACGAGCACCGTCCGACCACCGCTCCAACCATGACGAGAACTTCGAGGCACCTGGTGCTGCAGACGATGGCGTGGTTGGGCTTCAAGGGCTACAAAGCGGATGTGGCGGGGGCTTTCACGCAGAACAGAGAGATCCAGCACGACCTGTTCGTGATGCCTGTGAAGGAGCTCGCGGCGGCGCTGGGGTTGCCCGAGGGCGTCGCGATGCGGCTCAGGAAGGCGGTCTACGGGCACGTGGAGGCAGCGATCGAGTGGTTCATGACCGTGAGCGAGGCACTGGAGGAGTTCGGTTGGACCCAGATGAAGATGGACCCCTGCGCGCGGGTGCTCTATGGTGACGCCCACGGCAAGGATAACGGCTTCACCAAGGAGGCGCTGAAGGACTTCACGAGCCCAGAGGTGCTTGAGGACCTGATCGCGGCGAAGGGGGACATGGACATCATAGCCATTGCAGGGTCGCACGTGGACGACTTCCTGCTCGGTGGCAACGACACGGACCCCAGGTGGATCACCGCCCGGGAACAGATCGAGAAGCGCTTCAAGTGGAAGGCCTGGGAGTCAGAGGAGTTCATGCAGACGGGGGTGCGGATCAAGCAGCAGCCCGAGAGGAGCTTCCGCATGGACCAGAGCGAGCATGTGAAGACCATCGAGAAGGCGCACCTCACCCCGGAGCGCAAGAAGGCCAAGGACATGCCGACCACCGACAAGGAGAAGGGCCAGCTGAGGGCTATCTTAGGAGCCATCGGGTGGAGGTCCGAGCAGTCAGGTCCTATGCACTCAGCCGACACGAGCCTTCTGCTCAGCACCATACCCTCGTCCACCGTGCAGACCATCAACGAGACCAACCGCTTGGTCGATCGTGTTCGTGAGTGTGCTGATCTACCTGTTGTGATACACAGCCACTCTCAGGCACAGGTGCTGGTGCCAGTGCAGTGGTCCGACCCCTCCGAGGCCAACCGTCCCGACGGAAAGTCCACGAAGGGCCTGGTGGCAGGCCTGGTACCTGTGAAGATCCTCAAGGGCGACGAGGAGGACGTGAGCCTCATATCCTGGAAGTCTGGGAAGATCGATCGTGGTTGCCGCAGTTCCGTGGCATGTGAGACACGCTCCGCCGTGGATGCTGAGGATGAGCTGTTTGGCATAAAGTTGCAGTGGCTGGAGATCCTGGGCAACAACATCGACTGGAGGAACCCCGAGGGGATTCTACGCAGGCTGCCAGGAGCAGTGGTTGTGGATTCAAAGGGCCTGTACGACAAGCTGCAGACGACAGTCCACACCTTCCGGGACAAGGAGAAGCGGACCGACGCGGAGGCCATGACCCTGAAGGAGGGGACGCAGGCTGCGAACAACTGGATGCTCTGGGTACACGGGGATGCCCAGCTCGCCAACTCGCTGACGAAGGGACACGAGCCAGGTCAGCTGCGGATGTATTGTAACAACGGGCACCGCTGGAAGCTGGTCTACGACGAGAAGTACCAGAGTGCACGGAGGAGGAAGGCAGCTGGGATCCAGCCGTTCGAGCATGTAGGAGCGGGCATTCTCAAGACGCCAGGCGGGACAATGGCTCACATCAGTGCAGCTGCGTGCCCGGACTTCCCGCCATATAAGGCCATGACCGAGTGCAGTTCAGACGGGGAGGCGGACTCAAAGATGCTCAGCTTGGAGGACCCTTATCCGTGCAATTCCGAGGTTGAGCAAGGCTGAGCATGAGTGAGTGAGTCCAGCAGGGTAGCAGGTGTTTCATATTTGTTCCATATTCCATGGTGTTGCATCGCTTTAGTGTGTGATTGAATTTATGGTTTACGTATGCGGTTTGCCTGCTACCGTCTCGGCTCTAGCGCCCCCTCGCTTGTGCTCAGAGGCACGGGAGTTTAGATGCCCTGTGAGCAGGGCCCGAACTGTAGGAGTTCAGTAAAAAGATCATAGATCAATACCACTGCGCAATTTCCGCCGACTACTTGCACTGCTGGCCCCTCGCTCCTGACGTCGTGGTCCTCGCCATGGCGGTCAGTCGTCAGCGACATCCCCCCCCTCTTCCGCTTCTTCCTGATGACGAGCCCCAACTCGCAGGTGCCGGCGCAGCCGCGCGGGCTCGCATCGCCTGGGCCAGCGACGGCGTCGGGGCGCTCGACTGGCCGGCTGGGGGCGGGCCGCCTCCGATGCGGAAGCGACCTTCGTTGCTGCGTCAGCCCCTGGATTACATCGCTGATCAGCATGTCAAATTCGGCGGGCCGCCCCCTGACATCTCCCGCATGCACGCCCTCTCCGACATTTGCTCCAGTTGCCCGCTTTACTCCGTGGGGGTGACAGGATTTCCTACAGCGAGGACCTCGCGCCCTGGCCTTCAGGCGGCTCCGCGCCCGTCGCGCTGGAGGGTGCCCTTCTGGAGGCTGACCGTTTATATCGCTGCAGGGGTGGAAGGCCCGCGTGCTTCGCCCGCCGGCGGAGGCTGCGGCCGTTCGTCGAGACTTCTGATTTGTTCAGCCCTACATCGGTCCTAGACTACGACTTCCCGCCACCTACGGCGAGTTCGTCGCCGAGTTGCTGGGGCGGGGCATGCTGCGCGTCTTTCCTGCTCGCGGCCGTTGCGGGCTCCTGGGTGTCTTCGTCGCGGCTAAGAAGTCGGGGCAGCAGCGCCTCGTCTTCGATGCCCGCGTCAGCAACGCCCACTTCAAGCCGCCCCCCTGCGCCGAGCTGCTCAGCGGCGGGGCGTTCGCCCGCGTGGAGACGCAGGGCAGCGGGGGCGCGTGGTTCAGCAGCGGCGACATCGCGAACGCCTTCTACGCCACGCAATTCCACGAGGCACGAGGGCCTCTGCGAGTACTTCGCACCCCCTCCCGCGCGGGCGGGCCTCGCTGGTATTTCTCGCGTGGGCGGCGTCTCGGTTCACGAGTCTGACTGGTTGCTCACCGAGCTTGCCATCGTTCCCATTGGCTGGTCCTGGGCGCTGCATCTGCGCCGGGCCGTCTCCGAGCGCCTCGCCCCCGTCCTGCAGGTGCGGCGCCGCAGCTTGGGCGTCAGGCCGGGGCCCGAGCTCCCCGCCGCCGGCGCGGCCTACGTCGACAACTACATCGCGGCGGGCTCGCGGCGCGCCGAGGTGCAGGTAGTGGCTGGCAAGGTCGAGCGCGAGCTCACCTCCCTCGGCTTCGTCGCCCACGAGCAGGTCGACGCCGCGCGGATCACCAGCTTCGACGCCCGCGACCTCGACGGGCGCCGCCACTCTGCGCGGGTCTCCGCCCGCCTCGCTTGGAGGCTGCGCCGCGCGATCGAGGAGCTCCCTTGCCGCCTTAAGATTCGGGGCCCCATCCTGGAGATCGTCGTCGGGCACTGGGCCTGGGTCATGCTGCTCAAGCGGTGCTCGCAGGCCATCTTTGACTCTGTCTACGCTTTCACCCAGGCCGCCAGGGGCGAGGCCCTGCCCCTCTGACCAGCCGCGCGCCTTCGCCGTCTTCGCCGACGCCGACTGGCGCAACGAGATCGCTGCCAGCGGCGCGTCGGGCCGGGGCTGCGGGGCGCGCTGCCGCCGCTGCGGCCCAGAGGTGGCTGCGCAGATCGGCCGCGCCGCGGAAATGTGGCGATGCCTTTTCGAGGAGTCCGCCCGCGCGCGAGAGCGCGCCCTGGGCACGGCCGACGCTGCCGCTGCGCTGCGCGACCCAGGCAGGCTGCCGTCCGTGGAGGCCAAGGACTGGGACGAGCCATTCGGTGAAATCGACCCCAACATTCTCGTCAGCGACGGCTGGGCGATCACGCATTCCTTCCCGTGGAGGGACTACTTCGACATCTACCGCGCCGATGGGCCCAGCGGTGGCCCCTGCTCTCCGCCGCCAGCTCAGGTCCGCCAATGACTTCGGGAGTAGGATCGCGTGCGTGGTCGACAAGATGTCGCTCGTCCTCGCGATCGGCAAGGGCCGCGGGTCGTCGCCGCAGCAGCGCAGCGTCTTGCGGGAGATCTACGCCCGCGCCCTCGCCTGTCGCTTGCGCGTCATCGCCGCGCGGATCCCCAGAGAGCTCAAACCTGCGGGCGCTCCCTCGCGTGCCCCCCCCCCCCGCATAATTATCAAGGCGGTCGGGTCCGAGGTGGTTGTTGCGCCGAGGGATCGCCTGCGCGGTCGGGGAAGCGACAGGGGGGAAGCGGGCCCGCTGCAGCAAGATTTCGTGGCCGACGGGGCGCCCAGCGCTGCCCCAGCCTGCCCCCCTGGCTGCTGCATTGGCTATCCTGACAGCGCCTGTCCCGCAAGCGGCCGCCCCGCGCCGGGGGGAGGCGCTGCGAGGCAGCCCCCTGATGAGCCTCGCCTACCTCGAGCAGCGGGCCGTCGGCAAGGCCACTCTGGTGGAGTACCACAGGCGAGCGGGCGCGTTCATCGGGGGGCGCCTGCGGCCCCACCTGGACTGGAGCGTCCGGGAGCAGCTGGACACGAGGATGGCGACCTACGTCGACTACCGGCACTTCCGCGGCCACGGCGGGGTCGCGGCCTCTCGCCTCGAGCAGACGAGTGCGATGATCCCGAGCTTCGCGTGCTACTTCCCCGCGTCCGAGCGCGACTTCTGGACGGGCGCGCAGGCGCCCCCCCCCCGTCGCGGCGGGCGTCGAGGGCTCAGCGCTCGCCGTGCGGCTGCGCTATCCAAACGAGCGGAAGCGCCCCGGGGAGACGCTGCTCGGGGCTTCTCCGCGGCGTTCGACACCTTCGTCTTCCCGGTGCCGGCGCTACTGGGGCTGAAGCGGCGGCCGCCCCCCAGGAGATCGCTCTTGTGGCCACCCCCCCGCCTCGCTCCGTCTGGGCTTGAGGGGGGCGGCCTGTGCCCTGGCCCGGGAGGGCTTCCCTCTCGCAGCGTGCAGGCTGCGTCAGTGGAGAGCGTCGGACGAGTTCCCTGCAAAGAGACGGGCGGCTCTCGTCCCCCAGCTGCGCCGCGGTTGAGCCTCCCACAAGAACTTCAGACGCCGCCCCTCGCACCGCCGTCCTGGAGCTAGCTGTTTGCCGGACGGGCCGCCTGTCGGCGGCGCTGCGGCGCAAGGGCATCGCGGCGCTGCCGATGGACTTTACTTCAAAACCATGGTTCAACCTCGACCTGCCAGTCGTCCGTCGCGCTACCCGAGGCTGGCTGCGGGGGGGGGGGGGGGGGCACTGCGGTCCGTGTGGCCCTGCCGCGCAGCTCCTGGAGCCAGGCCCGCCTCTTGGTGCACCATCCGCTTGAAGGCCCGCCTTGCCGAGCCTTATCCTGTGCGTTTGTTGCAATTGTTCTGTTTTAGTTGCGAGGCAAACAGGCTTTCGTTTATCCTTGCCCAAGTATCCTGCCCATTGCCGTATGGCGGTTTTTAGTCATCAGTTTATGTTCTATCGGCGCCGTTTCCCGTCGCCATTTCTCCTCTCGGGCTCGGGAGTTCTCCTCGGTGGTGTGTTGGTGTTTTGGTCCCTTGTCTCCCTCCTCTCTTCCTCCTGTGCGTCTCGTTCGCTCGCCGCTGCGCCCTTCGGTGGAATCGCCCAGGACGCCCGCCGCACTGAAAAGTTGGGGTGGCCTGGGGTGTAGCGGGAAATGGCAGTGTCTTTCACATATCATCCCTTTTGGAACCGAGGGCCGTCGCGGTCGCGCCGATGTGCCGCAACCGCGCCTGCTCAAGTCTTTTTCTGGCCCGCCCTCCTCTCCCTCTTCTTTCTCCTCCTCGGTGGTGTGTTGGTGCTTTGGTCCCTTGTCTCCCTCCTCTCTTCCTCCTGTGCGGCTCGTTTGCTCGCCACTGCGCCCTTCGGTGGAATCGCCCAGGACGCCCGCCACACAGAAATGTTGGGGTTGCCTGGGCTGTAGCGGATGATGAAGATGATTATGATGAGGATGAATATGATGTTGATGATGTCGATGACGGTGATTGTGACGATGGCGAGAACGATGATGACGATGAGGTTGATGATGATGATGAAGATCATGATCCGGATGCAGATCGAAATGGAGTGCCGGTGATGATGATGCTGATGATGCTTGGGATGGTTAAACATAGTAATGCGATGGTGGAACTAATGATGAACGTGTTGTTGATGATTATGATTATGATGTTGATTATGGTGATGGCGAATATGATGAGGCTGATGGTGATGGTGACGATGCTGATGATGCTTATGGTGATAGGGATGATAATGAGGATGATGCTGATGAGCATGATGATGCTGATGATGACGATGAGTATGCTGATTATGATGAAGATGAAGATGAGGTTGAGGAGGGTAATGGGGAGGAGGAGGATGGTGATGGTAATCAGGAGAACGGAAGGATACACATGATAACGAAGAGGTGGAGACTACGCTTCGTTCCGTCCTTTTCCTCCTGTGGAAAAGAGGCTCAGGTGGAGGTGAAGGAGTGAAGGACGTAGTGGTCGAGGAATTGGAGGAAGAAGACGAGGAGGAGGAGGCGGGGATAGCTACCATTAGTCACCATCACCATCATCATAAGAATAATGAGGGATCATGAAGTTCTTGGCGAGGGGAGTGCCGATGAATAGGAGACTGATGAAGGTGCTCTCGATTGTGATGGTGATGGCGATGACGATTCGAATTATGGTGATGCACCACGTAAGCAGAAAAGGCAGAGAGGCACGTTTAGAGAGAGAGAGAGAGAGATAGCAACAATTCGACGTTCCGAAGTTACTCGGTCGCCTTCGAGCCAACCTCGTGCGGGAGGTACCGCTGTGCGAACAGGGGTGGGGAGAGTACC